GAGCCGGTGAGATTTGAACCGCTGACCTGCTGATCTAGCAGTAGCCTGCAGTGCTGCATTTAACCACTGCGCCACCTTGGCTCTTGTACAGAACAACTATCTGTACAATATATACTTGTACAGAACAACTATCTTGTATTTTATACTATTTTTCCTTTTCTGTAAAATGATAAACTTTCCAGAGGCGAAGAATTCCATAATTAAACTACTCTTGGTTTTGGAATGAAGCTCAGTTAGAATAGAATAACAGAATTGGAAGGGACCTGGATGTTTTCCCAGCCCAACCCGCTGCTTAGGCCATTTCAGACAAATGAAGCAGTTGAGTCTGAGCCATACCTGGGCATATTCTTTCTTTATGCTCTTCCCATTTCCATGATAAACATACACAGCCCCTCGATGATCATCTTCTAGAGGAGCACCTATGACAATATCATTGAAACCATCAAGATTGAGATCCTTTACGGGAGCAATTGATGTCCCAAAACGAGCTCCACATGGCTCATTTTTGTTGTGATTTGTGCAATCCTTCTCCTTGTGCACCAAACAGCAAGTCTGTTTTATAGGCTCAAGTGTCATCTGATATTCAAAGGTTTTCTGTTAAGGGAGAAATAATTATCAAAAAGACCCGTCTGATTTTTTTTTATTACAAGTTCTTTTGATAACCTAGACATGCAATCAGTTGGTGTTAAACTCTCACTTGAATCCCCAATCCATATGATTTTTTAAAACAATCATTACCTTGTTTAAAGAATAAATGTACACCTTGCCTTGTTCTTCTTTCTCGGTCCCCATGTACATAGGTGCTCCCACCAGAAGAAGATCTGTATATGTATCCTTGTCAATATCAATTGTTGTGATAACACTTCCATAATACGATCCAATCTGTGATTTCAAAAATAGCAACATGTTAATATGTAACAACATTGGCATTAGGTAAGTCACAGGTCCTCGAACATCATGGTATCATGAGCCTGAAAATGATAAATACTTGTTTTGTGATTTCCCCTACCAGTGAATAAACTAATGATTTCATTTGGATTAAGATTGGGTAGGAATTAAACAAACAAATTTAAACCATCCTTTTTTTTTTCCAATGGTAAGACTGAACTTACTTAGTTTTGCAGAGTGGTGTGTGTGTGTAGATGCACACAGGAAAAAAAAGAAAGTGAACTTATTTCAGTTTGAGGAAATAAAATCAAGGGGCCAACAAAAAAAAGGAAAATTCTGCATTATGTAATCCCTTTCCTCTCACTTTGCTAGGTAATATAATTCATAACTTTGTATGGTTTGTTTATAACTTTTAATATTGCAAAATATCTGAATGTGAACTGGGAGTGGGAGTGAGGAACAGATAAAGTAGTCTAAGGCCCTTGCTTTGTAATTTAATAATATAACTTAGAACATATAAGCATAAACACTAAGACATAAAGTTATTCTGTTCTAAGAGGTATATGCTTGATAACATAAAGAAACTAAGTTGTGTGGATGCCTCTGTTTTAGCACCCAAGCAAAGGTTGACTGTTACTAAAACCAGAATATTAAGAGAGAGATACAAAAGCATAATCTATCAATTACATGTGCAGATCTTCAGTCTGTACATATTCTTGTTTCAGTGCAGCTGCTCTTTCATAAAATACCTTCCTTCAAACATGATACAGTGGGAATGGCTCAGACCACGAATAATTTGGGTGCTGCCCGAAAAATCCGCTAAATGTTTCACTCATGTCACAAACACATCCTCAGGTACCAAATAAACACAGCTGTGGCAATTTCCCCTTCTGTGCCATTTTGTGTGTCTGTGTGTGCGCATGCACAGTCAGTCTTGCTTGTGGTCATGCCCAAATTGGGTGCCGACCAAAGTCCTGGAATGGATTACGGTCAGCAACCACTGTATTCTGCAATTTGTTGTGTTTCAAGTTGCTGCTGGATAATTGTGTTTACAATAGAGATGAATATCTGTAGCTTGGGTGTAGGATCAGGGTGAAGGTTTGTTCTCTGAATTTGTGGGTTGGTTACTGAATGTTTTGTTACCAGGCCAAGTAACATCTTAATGGAGTTTAGGGGATGTTTAGAGAATTCTACATGGGACAAACATTACGTCAATTAAAAACCAGGATCCATGAACACTGATTGGCAGTCAAACACCATGATCCCTAATCCTTACTCTCTACCCACACCGACACCAAACAGCATCAGTTTGATTGGAGAAATACAAAAGTAATTGGTCACACTACCACCCATCACACTCGTGAGTTCATTGATGCTTGGGACTCTACAAGCAACTCCATCAACAGACACATTGACCTACAACCAGCCTATGAACCCCTCAGAATCCAAAACAACCACACAGCCAACCAGAGACAGCACTGACCCTCAACCAACCCATGAAAGCCCCCCCCCATAGTAGTTCACCTCCCGATGACTCTGACCTGATGTAACCTTCTCATTACAAGACTCATTGATGACTCTCACTTGACCCATTACAAGACCCCATCACAAGCCTCCCTTGATACACCCACACTGACATTGACATCCCCTAAGCTCTGCTGGATGTTACCTGGCCTGCTAACAAAACATTTAGAAACCAACCCACAATCTCGGAGAACAAACCTTCATCCTGATTTAGTTGTACATGCAAGTTTTACTATGCACTAGGTGAAACTTTCTTTAGTATAGACATTTCCCCCAAGTTTTTTATTTTATTTTATATATATCAATGCCTGAACAGTGTGATACCTGGTATCATACATTTAAGTACACATAAACATAATATTATTACTCAGTTATTACAGTTCATTTTCATTTCATATTGTTTAAACATATCTAATACTACATTCAATTTATGAACCTCCCTCTTATTATTACATATATCTTGTTATGTTAAAATATATGTACTGTTGCTCCCCTCTAATTTCTAATTCTATTCTAACTTTTATTCATGTCACCGTTGTATTCAAATAGGTTTCTTTTCTGTCTTCCATCTTTCACCTGCTTTATTATTCACATTTTCCTTATTTAATTCTTCACATCTGTTTATATTAAAGTTTCATCCTTCATTCTTTCATTGTTCAGTATTTCAATATATAAGTCTAATATCAATCACAATATCATTTAAACATATAGGGCAGATCTATTCATATTCCTTCCATTCATTCAATCCATGTAATTCTATTTTTAATACACATGCTTATATTAAAATACATTCTTTCATTATCTAATTATTCATTGCTTAATGTTATTATTAATATTTATTATTAATTTTATTATTTTGCTGCTAATATTATATAATCATAATTATATTATATCTTAGTATAGACATTTTTAATATGGACATTCTGAATTGAGAATTTACATCATAAAAAGGTAGTTAGAAAGTGCAAATATATTCAGTTTCTTTAAGAATGAAGATAAACTAAAATTTCCCAATATTCCTACAAAGGAACTTAAAGCAGGTACTGTATATTAGTAATTGTTAAAATAAATATATGGTACATTCCAGTGGTGGGTTTCAAAATTTTTTAGAACCTATTCTGTAGGTGTGGCCCGTTTTGTGGGAGTGGCTTGGCGGTCATGTGACCGGGTGGCAGTGGCTTGGCAGCCATGTGACTGGGTGGGCATGGCGAACTTGACATCACTCATGCACACTCAGTCACATGACCCCGCCAACCAAGCTATGCCATGGTGGCAAAAAAATCTGTGACTCCGATGAAGGGAAGGGGGGGGGAAGAGAGGGGGAAAAGGGAAGAGAGGGGGGGAAAACTCCCAAAAATAGACAGCTGAAGGATTTAGGGCTGAAATTGCACGCTGGGGAAACAATGGGTTGATTGGAGAAGGCAGGACAGAGAGGAATCCAGGAGAAAACTATCACACGCTGCGGAAAGAACTTTGGGAGAGCTTTCTCCTGGATTCCTCTCTGTCCTGCCTTCTCTGATCAACCCAATTGTTTTCCCCAGCATGTTATAGTTTTCTCCTGGATTCCTTATTGTCCTACCTTCTCCAATCAACCCAATTGCTTTCCCTAGCGTGTGATAGTTTTCTCCTCATTCGGCCTGCAGCCTCGGAGCTTCAGCTGGGTGGGCAAAGGAAGTGGATGGGTGGAGCAAGCATGGTGTGGACGAGTGGTGCAAGCGAGAAAGTGGATAGTGAGCGGCGGCAGGGGGGGGCGAGCAGGGAGGGCAGGCCAAGGGGAAGCAGAGTTCCGGTACAGGGCCTCCAGAAGAAGGGGTATGGGAAGGCACACTAAATTTCACCAACTGGTACCCATACCAGTGCGTACTTGCTGAAACCCACCCCTGGTACATTCATTGACAATTGGTGCAATAGTTTTGAATGAAATCCTTACTTGCATTTCTTTCCTGGAGTAAATGTGTGGTGCACCTAACTTCATTATTATAAGTACTATTAACTTTTGTCATCACTAACATTAAAAATGGAAATGTAGTGAGGATGTGCTTATTGATGTTTTTTACCCCAAGTGAACAACTAGGAAGTAGAGTAGTGTCATAATACATAATTACCTGTTCACCACTTAATTTCTGAAGTATTTCTATTTCAGTGTCCTTCATTCTATATATGATAACTTGCCCGGTGTGATTATAACGAGGTTGCCCTGCAATGTATAGCAGATCTCCAGGTACAGAAGCTGAATTGACTGCATAACCTAAGGAATTAGATAACATGCACTCATTATACTCATATTATTTAATAGTTAATTTTACTTTACACACATACATTTTTCTTAGGGCAAATTGCCTATGTACCCACATTTTTGAACCCCCATTCTACCCCACAAACTCTGAAAGGGATTTGTTAAAAAATATTGATTCTTCTTTGGCAACTTGTCTCCTGTTTTTGTGCCTATCTGTAGAAATAGTTTCCATCAACTTATAAAGAACAGGTATTTCTGGGTTTCCCAAGGAAATCTATTTAAGAATTCCTGTTATGCCAACTTTCCCTAATATGAGTGCCTTCCAAATATATGAATATCAGCTTCTAGTTTTCATTCCAAGCTAGCTGGTGGTTTCTGAGAGTTGAAATTCAGATTGCAGAAACTTGTATTATTCACATTTTAATTATCTGATTCAGAAGCTGATCATAGGATCATTTAAATTCTCCCAATAATTTGTGCCTATTCACTAAAAAGTGTTTGAGTTGTCTCTGTTTTCTGAAATAGCGTCCCCTGGAATCAGGTTGTTCTGAATACTTTTGGTGTTTCAAGGTCATTAATTAAAGACACCAGTGAATTTCACATTTATGTTATTTAAGAACTCCTAGCTGAAGAACATGTGGTCATTCATTAATTGAACATTCCAGTAAATTTCACATTTATGTTATTTAATAACTCCTAGTTGAAGAACATATAAAGTCATTTTTTTTTGCTTTCAATTTGTGGGAAAATTTAAGATTTTATATCTTCTTATTATTTGGGACATGGAATCTGAAGGGTGACCTTGAAGGAAATAGGAAGTACTGTCATATAAACAAAGAGGGCTGAAGCATTCCTTAAATTCTGGGAAAGGAGATTGTATTTGAAGAGACCCAGACAGGCTTCTCCATGGTTCAGTGAGAAATAAAAGGGAGGAGAGGTAAAGAACAATAGGGCTTGTTGTTATTATAGCCTATCTCAATATATAGAATTGTAGTGTTCCAGTGACATTCATTTTCTGATCTGGTTTAATCCATAGGGCAGGCATTAACACTCACTTTCTTCCTCCAAATTAAACATGGTATCCACAGGGCTGTAAAATACAGCCACAAATAATTCATTCAGCTTCTTTGCAAAAGAGAGAGAGGGAGGGAGAGAGGGAGAGTGTCTTCAAAGCCAATATATTAGGGTGGCTTGTTTTAGAAAGGATTAATCTAGAAAGTAAACTTTTATAAAGTAAAAAGAAGTCCATCGACTGGCCTAGATACCCTATAACATATCTAAAGTACAATATGTTGGCGTGAAATGGCCAGAGGCCTCTTGAATTTAATTTTTAAATAGGATTTCCTAAATTTAATTTGATTCATAGAAATAAAAAGAAGAAAGTGTCTTCTAGTAGGAGCTCTTCCGTTTCCTGAATCTAATGCACAATACAACCATTGATATCTGGTTGGGAATGTCGCCCCTGATTAAAACACTTTGGACTGGCATAAATTATTATAAGAGTAGGACAACCAGCAGTCAATTTTGCTCACCTAAGTATGCTGCAAGGCTTTCGTTTCTTTCTGAAAAGCTATCATCAAATGCGTTACTTGCTGGTGTTAGAAAATTTTTGTCCTTTAACATGACTACCGTCCCGTTCCAGTCATATGCCCCAACTGCTCCAAGCATGATCCAGTCCTTTACAAACATAGCAGAAAAATCATTGCATTACTATATTCTCAGGGAGATTTATCCTGTGGCATAAACCCAAAAAAAGGGGACTATGCTGGGCAACCATCTTATGAGTGGCTAACGTAGAGCAATTCATTCATGTATCAGTATTTGATATATAAGCATAACATAAAACATAAAAATATATGAATTCAGAATCAGTACACTAGCATGTATTTGTTCCAGGCATTTAGTTTGTTTCATGATCAGCATCTTTAAATGGAAATCCCTCAATATGTTTTGGTATATATGAGACATTACTAAGTTTTCCTGTTTTAATTTAATCTGATAAATAAGCATAAAACATAGAATATAATCTTCTAGTTCAACCCCTTGCTCATGCAAGAGACCCTATACCAGGGGTGTCAAACTCAAGGCCCGCAGACCAAATCCGGCCCTCAGGTTGCTTAGATCTGGTTCACAGGGCCATCTTGGAAACAGTGAAGGACCTGCCTGTGATACCTCTGCCAGTGAAGACGTACAGAGCTCGAGAGGGCCACACACATTTTCATTGGCAAAGAGTTGCAGGAGGCCATCTCAGTCAAAAATGGAGCTCAGGAGTCCATTTTTGCTGGCAGAGCACTCGGCCACCACAGGCACCCTACCATACAAGTGATGTCAAGCTGGCCATGCCCACCCCAGCCCCCTGAGGTCAAACACAACCCTGATGCCACCCTCATTGAAATCGAGTTTGACACCCCTGCCTTATAGCATTCTGGACAATTGGTGACTTGAATACCTCCAATGATTGAGAACTCACAATTCTGAAGGTGAGCTGATTAATTACCTCCCTCTTAGAAAATTTCTTCTTAGTTCTACGTTGTATCTCATCTATGCTAGATTAGGTTAGCATCTCAGATATCATCCTATTTCATTCATCCTGTTCAAATTAATCCTAATATATGGAATCATAATTTTATTGCAATTTCAAATCAGCAAGAGTCATCCTGACAGCCCCAGTTTCCAACACCTGCATATTCCTGTTGAATATTTTGAATTGTTCTGATATCCAATGAACTCAATAGGGGCATGTTTTATTGTTGTTGTTGTTCAGTTGCTAAGTTGTGACTGAGTCTTCACAACCCCATGGACCAAATGGCAACCCACTTCAGTATCCTTGTCAAAAACCCAAAACCCAACTGATGGACAATATCAAAAGGAGCAAGGTATTTTCAATAAATAAGTCAAAAGTTCTTGTGATTCAACAAAGATTATTTTTTAATTGATTAGCAAAACTTATTGCAATGTTTCTCTCTGTGGAGAAAGTATAATATACCCCGTTTCTTTTCTTTGTAATTGAATCTAGTCACTTTACCTGAGAATAATGGGCACTGAAGCCAACTTGAGACATTTCCATTTCAAAAGAAGCTGCCTGTTGATCATTGGTAGCTATAAAACAGGAAATATTAATTGTTTTAGCATAGTTGATTGAAAATGCTAAAAATGACTGTAAGGAAATGGAAACAAGAAAAGACTAAATTAAGTTTTAGGAATGTCCAGGCTGACCAATGAATTAAATATTTAGATATGTCTCTGGAGAAGTCAGTGTGGTATCTTGAGTTCATAGTTACCATAGAGATGGCCAGTGTCACATCTAGTTTTGAGGCCACAATTTTCCACATGCGCACTGGTTACAGTAGATATAACATTTAATTATTCAGAAAAGCACAAATTTACACCCAATTTTTCACTTGTTGCAATGTATAACAAGTTTTACCATCCTTGAAATACTCTGAATTAACTTTGAAACATTTGTTTTAGATGGAGTTCAATATAGTTTTAATCTAAGACCAGTTCTGCCTCAGGCTTCTTTTGGAAATTAAGAATCTCAAGGAGTAGATTCATGCTTTGGTTCAACATTTTTTTCAAAGAATTCCAGTTAAATTCTAATTACTGGAATGTGAAAAATGCAGGGTGTGTAAAAATATCATATAATTATATCTCTAGGAGGAATAGCAGGGGGAAAGGCCGTTTCTCAGAGACCAAAATACAGCAAAACTTGGAATCTTTGGTATGCAGGAAAAAGGAAACGTTGGAAACTCCTTAGCAATTCACAGAGTATATTTAAGAGTTATGCAGATCTGCATGGAAATTCTCAGTCATCCAGTTCATGGTTGTCCAAAGGTGCTTTTTCAAAAGGCAACTGGACTTTCTGTTTTTTCTTTGAAGATGTTTCACTTCTCATCCATTCAGTCAGAGCTGAAGAAGCTTCTTGGATAAAAAGTGAAACATCTTCAAAGAAAAACCAGGAGATCCAGTTGCCTCTTGAAAAAGCACCTTTGGGACAGTTATGCAAATAACTGGCAAGATTTCTGTCAATAGACAAATATAATAAATGAATTAGTCAGAAGAAACTCCAGGTGTTGTTCTTGGTTCCTTAGGCCTAACATTAATGTTGCCAGACTTTGTACTTCTAAGAAGAAGGAAAATCTTGAGAATGGTGACAGACTTGCAGGAAGCACCAAGTTCTTTGCAGAAGCTAGCAGACACACTGCTATGACATCATTAAAAAGTTGACACACTGATTGAAAATTTACAAGCAGCCATTGGGCAACATTTGCAACAGGTGGGACAGAGTGCTCTGCAACCAGAGTGTGCCAGTGTCAGGCATGAAAGACCAGGTCCACATGTAAAGGTCCAATAAAACTGATTGATTAATAAAAGCCTACATAGGTGAATCTCTTCAATGAAAGGTCAGCATCTGCTTAGAGTAGATAAGGGTTAATGGTGCTCAAGGGGAGTTGGACTTAGTTCTCTTGCGGCTACGTAGAAATTCTATGCTGATCCCTCTTTTCACTCCACCCACAGGTTTGGCCATCTCTTCTCCTACAGCCAGATGAGCTGCCATCCTCCATGTCTGAAGAATCACCCCTGTCTGATGACTCCTTGGAGGAAGCCACTCTCCTGGCTGCTTCTAGCTGCGTCATCACTTCTGCCCCGGGTTTGGAAAAGCAATAGTGTGGGAAGAGGTCTCATGAAACTCTATTTAAACTAAGTTTGTATATCCTTCTCTGACTCTGTTTCAACTTTTCTAGTTGAGCATTTATTACCCTGTTTCCCTGAAAATAAGTCATGGTCTTATTTTCTTTTGACCCCCAAAATAAGCACTTGGTCTTATTTTCGGGGAGGTCTTATTATTTTTGAGGTGCAGGAGGCCCCTTAACCTCAGCCCATGACTCACAGATCAACTGATCCAGAGAGGGTGGGAAGGTCTGTCTCTGTTTCTGGCACACTCTTGTCAGTCCTAGCGTTGCTGGGCCTGTCGCTGTTTTTGTGGCCACCACTAAGAGAAGGGGTGCGGTAACCACTAAGAAAAGGGTTTGCAGGACCAGCCTCCATGAGCATGTGGGGCGCGTGAGGCATGTTCCCTCCTTCCCCCCAGAAAGTGGTGGGGACCAGCTGCGCATGCATTTAAGTATTTTAAAGGAAGGTTTATTTTCAGAGGCGGGCTTATTTTAGCACATGCGCTCAAATGCCCGATTGGAATTATTATCCAGGGAGGTCTTATTTTTGGGAAAACAGGGTATCATGCAAGCTGGTACAACCCCCCCGTAAAGTATGTGGAAAGTCCCATGTCATTATTTCATACTGCTTAAAAAATCATACCACACTTCATTTAAACATGGATTTTCTTTCTCTTCACACAGTATAGATATTGCAAGGAAAACTGGGGCTACATGTGTTGCTTTCCCTTTTGTGCATATATAGCTTCCTGGGAATGCAGCCCATGTTTATAAGCAAAACAGTGATTACTTTTGCATAAAACAGAAGCAATACTGTATATATCTGTTAATTAAGATAAACTACAACACTGGAAGCCCTTAGATTCAAACATGGTTTTCATAAAAACTGTACTATTAGAATAAGGTTCATAACCTAATATTAGTAATAAAATGACAATTCATATATTTTAATGAGTGCATTTTATATTTATTGTCTTCCTGGCACACATGGTTGTGTTATTCATAAAGAAGCTTAGTTTGATTATTCCAAAAAAGATGGACATAAAGTATAAACGTGAAGTATACACAGATGTTTTCCTTGCTAGGGAATATAATCACTTACACATTACTTGGATTGCTGCCTAACATTTTAAAGCATTAGTAGTGCATTAAGCACTGCAGAGAAGAACGGAAGCAATCTCCTTGCTGCCAAGATAGTTTATAAATGAAGTACAGGATATGGATAGGGATTGTAAAGGATTAAGGACAACCAACTGTAGGAAATTGACTAATATGGAACATATCACAGTTTAAGTGACAGCAAATTCAGAATGTCAGATGAAAAGATATCAGTTCAGTTTTGTAAAGTTATGATTCCAGAAAAAGGGAGGGAGAGAGGGAGGAAGGTACAATCCATCAATTCTCATTTATGAATTGGTATGATTGGGGGCATTTATGTTACATTTTTTTTTCTTGAATCTGAGATATAAATGGTACAGTTTGGCCCTAATTGTGACACAGAGCAGCATGGAAGGAAAGTGAACCAAGTGCATGGAAAGACATCATCCAGGGTCAGATTTGTCATCATCTGAGAGGTAATAAAGGCAGGTGATTCTCAATGAGACAGAGGATGAAGACAGAGTTTAAGATAAGGGACTCATTCTTTCCTAGCATAACACCCTTCCCAGGGGTGAAATTCAGCAGGTTCTGACAGGTTCTGGAGAACCGGTAGCGGAAAGTTTCAGTAGTTCGGAGAACTGGCAAATGCCACCTCTGGCTGGCCCCAGAGTCGGGTGGGAATGGAGATTTTGCAATATCTGTTCCCTGGGAGTGGGGAGGGAATGGGAATTTTGCAGTATCCTTCCCCTGCCACGCCCACCAAGCCATGCCCACAGAACTGGTAGTAAGAATATTTGAATTTCATCACTGACTCTTCCTGATTAGGATTGCAACTCCTAGAACCCCCAAATGTGCATGAACCCTAGAGGATTTAATATCTGATCTTCAACCATATATACAGAGGATAAGAATGTTTTATAGCTGAAAAAGATTTAAACACAATAACAAGTAACTAGCTCAAGACTCTAATCTGCATATTTATCTACACAGAAGATTAAACAATCCTCCCCATTAATAGAAATCCTGCCTGTGCAATCCCATCACATTTTCTGTAATGAGGGTTCTCTCTCTTAATTGACTGCTCCCTAGGCAGCATCACTTCAACCCTTTTCTCAAGGTCTTTCTCACATAACATCATCCTTTCTGTTGTCACGCAGACCATTCCAGTTAAGAACCTATTTGTGATCTAGAAGACTAGCATTGGCTCACTACCAGACTCTACTTTCAGGCTGTAATTTTGGGGAAAAAGAAGAAGCATTTTTTTGGCTATCTTGCTAATTCTGCTCAGTGCACAGCTGCTACAAATTAAAATTACCAACACAAAAATACAATACCTAGAACTTCCTGTAATAAAGTACTTCTCCACTCCAATCTTAACTCCTCTAACCATTGAGTTAGGATTATTCTATAAATGGACTAGGTATCTATTTAGTCATCTATTATACCAATTATTATTTGATTACAACAACAACAAATCAAATACATTAATAAAACCAACAAAACAGAAGGGGGTGGGTGTGGGGTGGAGGAACGCATACCTTCCAAAGCAAATATTCTTTCTCCAAGAGCTTCAACAATTGTAAGGAGAGCTACTTCATTTGAGACATTAAAGAAATGCTTTTCAGTTGGCTTGCTTGCAATGGATTTGATTTCCTCCACTAATTTCTCAGGGTTTCGATTCCCTCTGTTATAGGAGCCAAGAATCTGTGGCATGCAGGGGGAAAAATGAAGAAGCAATTTTAAAAAGTGAGTGATACACACACACACACACACACACACACACAATCTCCAATAGTTTACAATTAGTACATGTGTAAGAAGCATAAAATGGCACAGTCAGCAAGTCTGTCATAGTCTTCAGTCTCTAGAATAAATGCAGTAGTAGTGACTAACCCAAATTAACAGCATTCCGATGTAGACCAAGCATCTGCTAATCAGAAGTTTCCCACCATAAGAATAATCTAGGATGACCTTCCCTAACATGCTGCCTTTGTGTTAAGACTCAAAATTTCCCCAGAATAAGAATTGTTGATTTGGAAGTGTCCGTGTGCATTGAACATCATCCATATTATGAAAAAAAAAAAGCAAAAGCTAACCATGACCAGCTCTATATAGATTAATCATGGAATTATTATTGCCTGGTGGAATATCACCATGTTTGAAAAATCAATCCCACAAACACATTGATTCAATTATATGTAGCTATAACATAGTAATCTAAAAATATTATTTTTAAGAACAAGCATTAAGATTTTGGACTGGGAAGTCTCAGAGTCTAATCTACCTAGACCCATGGAAACACATAGGATGACTTTGGACCAGTTGCTTTCTCTTAGCTTAATCTATTTCAGAGAATTGTTGCTAAGCAAGAAGATAGGAGAATGTCCACTATATACCATATTCAAGATACATATATATGTATCTTGAGCTACCATAGAAAAAGTGGGATATACATCTAATTAAAAATACTTGTGTGAAACAATGACAATGAAAAACAGTGATCTTGTGGCAACAATTGTCCATTGTTTATCCTCAGCAGTTGAAGAAAAATGGAAGAACACATCATTAATATTAAAAATAGAGTCAATGTGTACTTTAAAGAAAAATATGGACCCAATGAGTAATGAACAAAAATTAGCATGTAGCTAATATTGGAAGAGCACTAACTCATCAAAAAGAAAAGATTCTTTCTTCAAGGCAAATTGAGGAAAAGGGGAAGAATGATTTCTAGATATATAGCACAGTTTTTCTAGGAAGCATCACTTACAGCAATAGAAAATCTCTGTATGTTGTCTTTTTCACAATCATCAATCACTTTTTGTAATCGGTAATTGTCATGAGATTCTCCATCAGTCACAACTACCATGACTTTTTGAACCCCTGGGCGGGCCCCATGAGCTTTTGTAAATGCTTCATTCCTAAAATGAGAGTGAAAACCTGTAAATCTGCAGATAAGGACAAGGACAAAACATAAATATCAACATCAGTAGGAAAAATAAAAAAAAATGGCATAGTGGGTGACTCCATAGGCCTTTGGTTGGAATTTTCAGAGCTCCCTTTCGATCCTTAAAGTCAAGTTGTACATGGGCAAGCCTGTGGAAGATCAGCATAGTTCTTTATATAAGTTGATACTTGTTTATAAGGCTGTAAGGCACCTACCTTGCCGTCTCAATGCCAAGAGCTGTCATGGTCTCAAATCCTTCTCTCTGCTTAATTTTGCCTGCTGCTTCAAGTACCTCTTCTGTGGTTGAATATGCATTGAGATAAAATTCATGGGTTACATTTTCACCATATTGAACGATCCCAACCTGGAATACAAAATCATCTGCTGAAGAAATTTTCACACTGATGCCAACACTCACAAGACAGCAACTGAAGAATTTACCTTTCAGTTAAAGGCAGAAGACCACCCACACCATGAGAACTTTTTTGTTTTATATGGTAAAGCAGAAATGCGGTTTACTAAGAATAAGCATTAGGCTGTTGGACAGAGTTCAGTTACACAGACTTGACTCTTCTTGCCACCTGAAGCATCTAAATAGATCATGTACAGCCTTCTTCTCACTCCTTTGCAGACTTGGGGCCTGTCTGTTTCACCATGTTCCATCCGGCCTGTTTCTTCTTGCTTTTGTACAGGTTTCTGAGAACAAGAAACCTATAAACCTATAAGATCTTTTGGGATTCTCAGCTTCTTCAGAATATTTCACAGGTAAAACCAATCAATTCAATTGAAGGTCTTTCCAGAATAAATGAAACACATGTTGATGGCTTTCTCAATTATTTAATGGCATTAGCAATAATTTATGTTGCTCAGTCTTTTCTAAAGCAGCCAAAACATCTACCATTTCTATGTAGGACTCTAATCTGCATTGGATGATGATTTTGTTAATGTGTGAAACTACAATAGACTGCATACTCTGTTAAATCTCCTTTCTTTGATATCAATCTGTAGATACCCTTCAATATATTGGCTGTTCTACAGATTTGCTACAGATTTGGTTGGATCTTCTACTGATTCCTTCTCTGTAAATGTCCTTCAATTCCTATAGCCTTCCAACATATTAATGACACAGTGCTTTCTTCTATTTCTTAGTTTTGACGTTCTCTTTCCATACTTAGCTTTAACAATGTGTTTGATTTCATTCTACATTCTTTCATTCCTTAACAATGTGTTTGATTTCATTCTACATTCTTTCATTCCTCTGATTTTTTCACCAATGAGTTTGGAACTTCGAAGTAATTCCTGATGTCCGTGAAAATGATGGAAATCAAAATAATCAAAATCATATTGTGGAAATGTGTTGNCATTAAAGAAATGCTTTTCAGTTGGCTTGCTTGCAATGGATTTGATTTCCTCCACTAATTTCTCAGGGTTTCGATTCCCTCTGTTATAGGAGCCAAGAATCTGTGGCATGCAGGGGGAAAAATGAAGAAGCAATTTTAAAAAGTGAGTGATACACACACACACACACACACACACACACACAATCTCCAATAGTTTACAATTAGTACATGTGTAAGAAGCATAAAATGGCACAGTCAGCAAGTCTGTCATAGTCTTCAGTCTCTAGAATAAATGCAGTAGTAGTGACTAACCCAAATTAACAGCATTCCGATGTAGACCAAGCATCTGCTAATCAGAAGTTTCCCACCATAAGAATAATCTAGGATGACCTTCCCTAACATGCTGCCTTTGTGTTAAGACTCAAAATTTCCCCAGAATAAGAATTGTTGATTTGGAAGTGTCCGTGTGCATTGAACATCATCCATATTATGAAAAAAAAAAAGCAAAAGCTAACCATGACCAGCTCTATATAGATTAATCATGGAATTATTATTGCCTGGTGGAATATCACCATGTTTGAAAAATCAATCCCACAAACACATTGATTCAATTATATGTAGCTATAACATAGTAATCTAAAAATATTATTTTTAAGAACAAGCATTAAGATTTTGGACTGGGAAGTCTCAGAGTCTAATCTACCTAGACCCATGGAAACACATAGGATGACTTTGGACCAGTTGCTTTCTCTTAGCTTAATCTATTTCAGAGAATTGTTGCTAAGCAAGAAGATAGGAGAATGTCCACTATATACCATATTCAAGATACATATATATGTATCTTGAGCTACCATAGAAAAAGTGGGATATACATCTAATTAAAAATACTTGTGTGAAACAATGACAATGAAAAACAGTGATCTTGTGGCAACAATTGTCCATTGTTTATCCTCAGCAGTTGAAGAAAAATGGAAGAACACATCATTAATATTAAAAATAGAGTCAATGTGTACTTTAAAGAAAAATATGGACCCAATGAGTAATGAACAAAAATTAGCATGTAGCTAATATTGGAAGAGCACTAACTCATCAAAAAGAAAAGATTCTTTCTTCAAGGCAAATTGAGGAAAAGGGGAAGAATGATTTCTAGATATATAGCACAGTTTTTCTAGGAAGCATCACTTACAGCAATAGAAAATCTCTGTATGTTGTCTTTTTCACAATCATCAATCACTTTTTGTAATCGGTAATTGTCATGAGATTCTCCATCAGTCACAACTACCATGACTTTTTGAACCCCTGGGCGGGCCCCATGAGCTTTTGTAAATGCTTCATTCCTAAAATGAGAGTGAAAACCTGTAAATCTGCAGATAAGGACAAGGACAAAACATAAATATCAACATCAGTAGGAAAAATAAAAAAAAATGGCATAGTGGGTGACTCCATAGGCCTTTGGTTGGAATTTTCAGAGCTCCCTTTCGATCCTTAAAGTCAAGTTGTACATGGGCAAGCCTGTGGAAGATCAGCATAGTTCTTTATATAAGTTGATACTTGTTTATAAGGCTGTAAGGCACCTACCTTGCCGTCTCAATGCCAAGAGCTGTCATGGTCTCAAATCCTTCTCTCTGCTTAATTTTGCCTGCTGCTTCAAGTACCTCTTCTGTGGTTGAATATGCATTGAGATAAAATTCATGGGTTACATTTTCACCATATTGAACGATCCCAACCTGGAATACAAAATCATCTGCTGAAGAAATTTTCACACTGATGCCAACACTCACAAGACAGCAACTGAAGAATTTACCTTTCAGTTAAAGGCAGAAGACCACCCACACCATGAGAACTTTTTTGTTTTATATGGTAAAGCAGAAATGCGGTTTACTAAGAATAAGCATTAGGCTGTTGGACAGAGTTCAGTTACACAGACTTGACTCTTCTTGCCACCTGAAGCATCTAAATAGATCATGTACAGCCTTCTTCTCACTCCTTTGCAGACTTGGGGCCTGTCTGTTTCACCATGTTCCATCCGGCCTGTTTCTTCTTGCTTTTGTACAGGTTTCTGAGAACAAGAAACCTATAAACCTATAAGATCTTTTGGGATTCTCAGCTTCTTCAGAATATTTCACAGGTAAAACCAATCAATTCAATTGAAGGTCTTTCCAGAATAAATGAAACACATGTTGATGGCTTTCTCAATTATTTAATGGCATTAGCAATAATTTATGTTGCTCAGTCTTTTCTAAAGCAGCCAAAACATCTACCATTTCTATGTAGGACTCTAATCTGCATTGGATGATGATTTTGTTAATGTGTGAAACTACAATAGACTGCATACTCTGTTAAATCTCCTTTCTTTGATATCAATCTGTAGATACCCTTCAATATATTGGCTGTTCTACAGATTTGCTACAGATTTGGTTGGATCTTCTACTGATTCCTTCTCTGTAAATGTCCTTCAATTCCTATAGCCTTCCAACATATTAATGACACAGTGCTTTCTTCTATTTCTTAGTTTTGACGTTCTCTTTCCATACTTAGCTTTAACAATGTGTTTGATTTCATTCTACATTCTTTCATTCCTTAACAATGTGTTTGATTTCATTCTACATTCTTTCATTCCTCTGATTTTTTCACCAATGAGTTTGGAACTTCGAAGTAATTCCTGATGTCCGTGAAAATGATGGAAATCAAAATAATCAAAATCATATTGTGGAAATGTGTTGGCTTTTTATTTCACTTCAGCTTGACCTGCAACTTGCACATGATCAGTTGCACAGCAGGTCCCAAATATCTTTCCTGTTATAATTGAACTGCTCTACCACTTTGTAGTAATAATATAGTCAGGTTGGTTTTTGAGTACTCCCTATCTATAGGTATCACTGCTTTTTTTTTGGGGGGGGGCAATAGCCAACAGGTGGATTCCTATAATTGTCAATCAATTTACTTTAGAAAAGAAAGGTGGTATGTAACAAAATAATAGTGCCTTTGCCAAATACCCTTTCCTTCATTTTCATCTGCTTAATTTTATAAGAAGGTTTAGTCTAAATGTGAGCTAAGCAATATTCCACTAGTATATTTTAAATGTATGCTCTGCATTAAATTTTGAATATGCTGCTTAGTCCAGCCATTCAATGCTAATATACTCTGACTTGGCATATTTACCTCTTATTCATCCATTAATAAAACTCTACTATTAAAAGACTGAACATTAAAACAATCTACCTAGACATATCCTTTTATAGCTGGATCAGTTTACATTCTAGCTTTCAGTTTTCAGATGTGCTTCTCTGTTTTATAGTTCATTCCTTTTAGTACAAACATCTTTATTTACTGGCTGTCTTTGATGTAATTAAACTGAGGAATGTAAGGGTCATTAAGAGTTAAGAAACTGATTAAGACCTGGCCTTTCCACTAAGTTTTTGGAGACTGAGCTGCTTATATGTAAACTATTAAAATATTTTTTCCTAAGTTGGGAGGGAGGTTGTTCTATGCAATACAGGAAGTGAATATTAGTGAAATCCAATCAGTCTATTTTCTACCAGTCCAGTGTATATTTTACTATATCTCGGTTGTTCATTTTTTGATACTTTGTAAACCACTTATAAACATTATATAAAAATGTCTTACAAAGTTTCAGTAATGAGTAAAATACATAAAGAATATGCGTTTTACAAAATGAGCAAAAGAAGAATGTTCTTCAAATTTCTGATGATACATTTGCACCAAATTCCAGTTGCTGAGAACAATAATGAAAAACATGGTTGCTTGTCTATGGATTCCCTGCAGTTCAGGGGTGGGTTTCAGGCAGTTCGCGGCGGTCCCCGCGAACCGGTTGGTCGGCAA